AAATCACAGAGAAAAAATGTGACAATGAGTGTGTATATGTCCATGAATGACTGAAAAATTGTGCTGAACACTGGAATTTGACACAACATTGTAAAATGATTATAAATCAATAAAAAATGTTAAAAAAATTGTGAGTCATTTATGGCTGCATTTGTTAGCCTAAACGTACATTTGTATTTCACTTTCCCTGATTGGATGTTAACTTTGTTAACATTAATGTGTTGGTGCATTTTAATTTATGTAATTGCATATGAAGCAGTAATATTTGTCCCCATTTTAAGAATTTTATTTATCCTACCCTAAAACATAAGTGTTCATAGTTTCCTAATGGCAGCAGGTAGCAAGCATGGTACCTGAAAAAATAACGTCATTGTAATTTTCTTTATTAGACTCATTGTCTGGTTTACCCCCATTTATATTGTAGAGAAATGTACCATTAGTCCCATGAGGAGAGAAATGGTTTTAGTCCATCCTTCGTTTGTTTATCCATCAAACTTCCATAGACTGCTTGGTATGTGTTGGTATTGTCCTAACAACTGAAATACAGGATCAGTTTCCTGGTACTCAAGGAGCAGTGAACTTCCTCATGCCTGAAGGTCCTGGGATCCCAGAGCAGTAGGCAAGGATTGCCAGACGTGTATTTTTGCCTCTATGCTGTGTGCTCTGTGTATGTGTGTGCGCACGCGAGTATGTGTGTGTGTGTGTGTGAGAGAGATTTGTTCCACTTTGGTTAATTTGCTCCACGAGTGCATTCTCTGTATGTAAGTACTGCTTCTGTACTTTGTAGGTAAATTTGCTTCTTTCTAATCATCAGTCTCCTCAATTCTGATAAGATATCATATGACGGTAAGATTAATTTACCTTATTTCTAACTTTCTACATCTTTCTGCACCTTTAACATTTGCTTTAAAATTTTGTTTCCCTGGCTCTTCAGGCACCTACCATTTTAATATGAATTCATGATATTCCCTTGATCATTATGAATTCTTTTAATTTACGACAATTTACTTTCAGTTTTCAATTTTTAATGCTACAGTACTCCATACTGCAGTTTTTTTGTTCTTCAGTTACACCTCTGCTGAGGAGAAGCTAATGTAATTGATCAGTGTTTTTGTTCTTTGTTTTTTGTTTTTGCCGAGTTGGCATCCCTTATTGCGGTGTGTTGCAGTTGGCTCTGTTTGAAGAGTGCAGCATAGCCCCAAAGTCAAAATGGTGTTTTGAATGCCCACACTACCCCCACTACTAGATGAAAAGAAAAGAGCAATTTAAGGGTGACCCGAAGACTGACCTTCTTTGAAGCATCTATTACACAGTGGCCAAGTATGACTAGGAATTTCTCTGTAAGGGAAAAGAGAAGTAGACAAGGACTCTCCCCTTTATGCTGTCTATCTTTCTCACACACAAACACACACGTATTTATAATTTATATATTTACTAATTATGTTATCCATGTTTTTGTTTTCCACTGGGCTGTATTACCAGTATCTGGTGGAGTCCTCCTCCTTCTGTGCACAGTACTATTTAATAAAACAGCAGACACCTGGGAAGCCCCTAAAAAAGTAGTTGGTTGTGCCTCTGGTAATCGATTTATAATTAAATTTATGTGTCTTTTCCTGGTTTGGGTTTATGGGATGAGAGAGACTTGATAAGGAAGACTGTGGTCAGTTCAACACACTGGAACCAAATTTTTCAACTAGTTGTTCGAACTTACTTGGGTCTCCTTGCTTTTCCTTTTATGTGGGTATGATTTGGAGGGAATTGGGTGGGCGTTGGGCTTCTTCGTCTTCAAAAGATTTCTTTTTAGGTTAGAGCAAAAAATCGGAATAGCCTCGACTTGGACACATACTGAAATTTGTGATGTCAATCCCAGTCTCTTACTTTCAAATTTTAGTATGAAACAAAATCAATAAAAATCATATTAAAAAATAATAAGCCAGCTTGAAAGAAGTGGTGTGTTCATAAGGAGAACTTATTATTAGAATTGTAATTTAAATTTCTATTTGTAAAATGAGAAAGATACACAAGAAAAAGTCATAGTATGAGATTGGAGCTACCCACTGGCTCATAAAATAATAATTTGTATCCTAAGAAAATATATTTCAGACAACTGAGAAAAATCAAAGAGTACTAGTTGAAACAGGAGTATCCACTCAAACATTGGTATCTTAAGGCTGTTTTAAAGAATTTTATAGTTTAAGCTTTGGGAGATTACTGTATATTTTACAGTAAATATATAAAGGTATCTATTAGGAAACTAATACTGGAAATAATTCATTAGAGAATGACGTACTTTTTTAATGGGCCAAATCTCATATCTTTTATATCATATGGGTCCTTGAATAGTCAGTGTGACGTGTTCTGTTTTGTTTTTTTAAAACATCAGGTCCAGTGAAATTCTTCACAGTGCCCAGTGCTTCTGACTCCAGGAAATGGAATCTTACTCTCTATTGTCAATAATTATAAATAGATATTTGACATGTAACATGATGGGTGAGCATAGCTTGATGCCTAATAGCATTTTTACATTTTTCCTTGTCTGCAGGTTCTCAATAGTTTCTCATCTTTAGTTTTATATTTCTCCTCTTTTAGATCTTAATATGTTATCCTAAGGCCAGAAGACAGTGAAAACATCTTTAGTTGGCCAAAGGCCTGTTATTGCACTTCGGTTAATAATACTCTGTTTTGCAGATCTCCTTTCTAAGGGGTTGAAAGCTGCCCTCCGAGGGCTGTTGGAGCTGTTCCTACTTGTAGTGAATTTGTTCTCAGTCTGTGATGAGATTAGATTCATTTAAACTGGTGAAGAGTCCAAGAAGCCTTGGGTGGCTGATAAACACCAACACCTCAGTTAGAGTTTCTTGAAGTTCTTGGTTTAGATGCAGTCTGAATTTTTCAGTGCTGGTAATCTCCATGTCCATAACTGAATTTTTCAGTGCTGTGTGTCCGTCTTAAACTGATGAAGTGAAGTAAGATATTGTTCAAGCCTTGCTCTTAGATTTTGAGGAGATTTTTTGTAATGTCATTCTGTGGAACCGGCTCTAGAGATGTTGGATGACCTTGTTCTATGAGATGTCTTGGAATTTGTTCCCACTTCACGGGAGTGGATAAATTGGATTTTTAGACGTGACTAGCTGCTAATTACCACCTAGCCATCCAGTGGTTAGCCAGTCAGTCGAAACCTCTTGTTATTTTCTTAATCTACAAAATGTCATGGTGAAGCTAGATAGAGTACTTCTTGAGTTCTCTGGGGCTGTAACGTTTCCTGGGGATCTGTGCTGCTTCTCTGAGGATAGCTGTGAAGATAGATGGCTATTTGTTCCCCATCTCTCAGGCTTTTGTTTCTATCTGCCTTTTAAATTAGGTTTCTTCTTGTTGGAACGATTACTGTCAGTACTTTAGAGAGGAAGATAATTCCCCATTGTAGTGTATGCTATATTTAACAGTAAGGTACCACACTCTCCTACCCCTTTGCCAGCAGACGTTTTTATTCCTCAAGAATGTTACTTATTGGACACTTTTACTGTACAGCAGACAGGTGCCAGTCACTGGAAACAGTAAGGAATAAAACATAACTCCTGTCTTCAAAGAACTTGGAGTATAACGTCTTTCGGTTTGGTGGCACTCTGATGTCCTGATAATATTCCTGTATGGTCTGGCATATTCTCATATCTTCTTTTTTAGGAGTGTGAGCCTGAAGCAAGTCAACTTCTCTATACCCTTGCTTGGCCATTATAGTAAATTTCAGTGTTCTTTTAGGGTCAGGAAAGTATATGTCGATGATCTTGTAAAGATGACATGTACATCTTTGAGGGCATAATATATTTCTGAATGATGAGAAGTTAATTTTTTCATTGGTCACTACATTGTAAGGTCAGTCATAAATGAATGAAGCACAGGTTGAACTTGACACATTTAAAGAGACCTTGAAGTTTAAGAAGAACGTTTAAATCTACTGAGAATGGTTCTTGGAGTAATTTAAGAGGCAGTATGGGTGTTTTGTATCCTTGAAAACTCTTTGAGTGGCGACTTTATATACTAGATTATATTTAGCTTTCCCTTACTCAGCTGTGTGTCAGACCTGGCATTGTTTTATTCCAGAATTAAGAAGTCTGAAGCCTCACTGTGCTCTGTTTTTATATACCCTTGCTTCTAAGGCTTTAGAGGAAGAGGTGTCATTTCAAAAATACCATTTCTTGAAGCATCTCAGTTCACTAGTGCCAGCAAGCTGGTACTTCTGTGGCATATGTTTATAAATATATTTTAGTGTTTTTCAATAGGTAAGTTATCCTTTTTGAAGAGGCAAAGAACTTATAAATTCACTTCATTATGTCCAAAAGAGAATCCAAGAGACAAACTTATACAGACACAGGTCTTCCTGCTTCTTTTTACATGGAGGGAAGAAAAGGCAGCTGTAAAGGAATTTTATAGGATAGTTAACTTGATTTTACTTAAAATGTAATTTGTCATCAGTTCAATGTTAGGTTTTCCATTCATGTAAGTAAACTTACAAGTGTGCTTAAAGAAATTCAAAGTTTTTAGGAAGAGTTTCATTTCAATTTCAGATAATTTCACTGTGAATGTGTTTTACGATACTTGTATCTGAGTCCTTATGTTAATCTTGAATGTCATCACAGCAGTGATTTTTAAAGACTATTAATGTAGTATGATCTGTACTTTCCTGGGTGAAATGATTGTCATAATCAGATCATTATGGTGATAGTCTACCACCGTTCCTGAGATGTCCTGTTATGTGAAATAAAAATGGGTAATAATAATGATCCTAATGATCGAGGTAATCACACAGGCATAGCAGGGTATGTCTTACTTTACTTTCATAGCCCTTGATCTTCTTCATAAGCCGACATCATTACTTATTCCTGCCTTTTATCTTACTTAACATAGGGATGTGAACTTATTTCAACTCCTGATCAAGACCATACTGACTTTACCAAGTGCCTTGAAGTGCTCCAAAAGAAGATAGCAGAAGAAGACCTACAGGTAACTATATGCATCTGTTTGGTGGTTAGGAGTCTTATTACCAAGAATTTGAAAATTGCTCCTTTTACTCACCTGAAATCATGGTTTGCTTTTGTGCTAATTATTTGGATTCCCTTGTCAGGTTTTTTTCAGTAGATCAAACAAATATGTACTTAGCTGCCAAAATATGAAGGTGCACCCTTAAATCAGAGGTCACATATTCCAGAACCTTACAGTGATGAGATCTCTAAAAGGGTGACGTGGACCTTGCAATCAAAGCCGGCAGCTCAGGCTCGTCCTGAAGTGAATAGCTGCTTTCCATCTCAGGTTGATTGTTGCCATGCAGAGTTCTGTGTGTGTGTGTGTGTGTGTGTGTGTGCGTGTTGTATGTGTGTGTATGTATTATATAGACGAAACAAACAAACACGGCCTAGATTTGGCCATCACTGCAAACATATAAACAAAATATCAGTTTGTTTGTTTTTTTTTAAGTCAGAAGAGTCTACTGCTTTGCAAGGGTGGACCCCTTAAGGTGTTCGTTCAGTCGTGATTTTCACTTAGCGTCCAAGTGTTTAATCACATTAATTAGCTAAGGGACAAATTTATATTTTATTTTATTTTACAAATCTTTGATACTTGTTGAAACGGTACACAGACTTTTTCAAGTCTGTATTTTGGGAAGATCAACAAAGTTAAACCTGAAGCATTGAATGACAATTGTCCATTAGTTCCCTGGAAAGGGCAGGAAGGTAAGCTGAGATGCACGATCGAACGTGTCACTTTAAACTGAGAAAACTAGGAAAACACCTTTGTGTATTAGAATGGTTTTCGTGGCACAAGTACCAGGAGATGTTTCAGCCTGTCCTGCGTCATCAGGTGGGATCGGGCTGTCTTCAGACACAGCCCAGGCAGATCCTGTGTCTGCTGCTTCCACTACCTTTGCTGTGTCAGCTTTCTCTTCAGTCTGGTTTCCCTGACTGTCTCCAGCGGCTGCCTGTAGCAACTTTATACCTTCACGTCTAGGGGGATTCAAGGGGTACAGGCATCACTTCTCACTGTCATTAGACCCAAGTCCTGAGATCTCTCCATTAACCTATACTTGGCTTTGGCAAAGGATGCTGAGAGTGTCCTGATTGTCTTAGACTGGAGCAGGGTGTGGGGTCAATCCATCTGTCTCATGGAGTCACATGCATGGCTCATACACCCGTGGCGGTGGGGCACAGGAGGTGGAGAGACAACCCTAATGAACACTTCCTCCCTCGCAGGAGTCCGTGAAAGGTTTACTGGAGCATGTATTTACTAACTTGAGGTAGTAGATCCTTTTCTCCGTTTGAAGAAAAGCCTTGTAACTGTCGTAATTGGCAAGTAGCTCATTGTGCAAACTCAACAAGAGTAATGGAGTGAACCTTTCTCGGCTCTGTTGTAGCTTGAGCTGCACCACATGTGCTATTTCCAGCTGTGAACTGCTGTAATTATATACTTGTTTAAGGAAAACAGAAAAATATTGAGAGCTAACTACTTCATCCAGACATAGCTGATTTTGAGGGTTTTTTAGGGAAAAAATTGAAAACTTTGACAATTGTTGCAGTTTTTCTTAAAAAAAAAGATCCACTTCCACTGAAGTATTGAAATCTGGAAATGAAATCACATGAGTCTCATTTGTTGTGTCTCATGGGTAGTATCTATAATACTGTATTCATTCTTTGAATCTCAAAACAAATAATCATATGTCAAAGTCAACAACACCAAAATTCAGAGAGAGAGAGCCTCAGACTAGGGTAGTCAGGTGTATATGATGTGTGAAGGAAACTGCAGAAAGTCTTGGCCAATCCCATGGAGGCCTGAAGCAAGAGGACCCATTAGAGGACTCCCACACTGGGCAGAAAGGACCAGACCCTCTTGCTCCCACCGTGCTTAGCTTAGTCATAGACAGGAAAGAGCGTGACCGCAGTGGCATGTCATGCTGGGTCACCAAGGGGTCGCCATTGGGCCATGACAGCCAGCTGCCCTCCTCACAGCCCAGGGGCGAGGTCCTTGTGGGGACGCTGGGAGGAAGGCACCTCCATGGCGGGCACGCATTGGGTCCAGTGCACTCTCCAGCCTCATCTTGTGTTACTCCTCCTCCTGGTTCCTACAATGTGCCAGATTCCCTCCTCTCCTTTGCCTTAAGCCTTAAGATGTTTTTGCATATGTTGTTCCGTCTGTTTAGAATTTTTTGAATATGTTTTGAATGTTTTGTTTGTTTGTTTTTGCGTTTTTCCTGTTTTTGCCGAGGCCACAGTGGCAGAGCACGCCTGACATCCTCAAGGAGGACTTCGCTCCCCCAGCGCTCTGGGTTAGGCTCCGCCGCTCTGCGTTTCTGTGCCTTCCTCTTTTCTCCTTTAAGATACCCTCAATACTTCTCATAATTGTGTTAAGTGTTCTAATTGTTTGCTTGAAGCCTTTATTCCCAGCTTGGCTGTGCAGCCCCTGAAGCTGGGATCAGGTCTGCCTTGTTCACACTGACAGCAGGACTTTGCACGCAAGAGATGCTTGGGGAATGAAGGGTCTGTGTTACACCCTACAGGGAACACACAGGAGAGCAGGGCAGGACACAGTTAGGAGGACGGCTTTTTAGAGAAGGCTGAGAGGTGAGACATAAACAGGAGTTAGATGGCAAAGGGGAGGAGATGTTGGCCAAGCGCCACAGTGCGCCGAGAAGATGGATAAACAGTTCAGTGAACCAAGGGCAGGTGGGTTGAAGAGCTTTAAGATGAGAAGGGTGTGATTAGTTTGGTGTTGTAAGAAGCATGGTTAGATCAACTGAAGGCTACATTACTCACCATGAAAACTACACAAGGTAGTTTTCGTTCAGACTGAAAAGGTGTTTGTGTTAAATCTGACAAAATGGAGTATCTGTGAGCTTCCACCTGACTTTGCGTTTAACCTTGCAGCACAGTGGTATCTTTGATTGAATATAATACCAGGAGAAAAGCAAGATAAGAAAGATTAGAAAGGAAAATTATGTAAGATTCCCCTCTATACATTCTCTTACCACCAAGTGAGATCATCTGGAGGGCTTTTAAAAATTTCTTCCTAAAATACACATAAACTGTATCAAAAAGTCCCTTACACTTCTCCACCTAATATACCCTATCAGATTATCATACATTTCTGGTTTTCCACTTACTATAAGTATGAATTTATAATCAAAGTGTCCGTATTTTGTAGTAAGGTCTTATCTCATTAGCATATATTTTAAATACTAATTATAATATAAATGAACTGAATTAAAGTAGTATTTAATTTGTTAAGGAACCATACTGTGTAACATATTAGAACTTTATAGAATTTGGCTTAGAGTCTGTCCGTATCCTAAAGGAGTTTATTATCTAGAATATTAATTATTGTAAAAAAGTCATTTAATTACCTTATTTATTAATTTATCTATTTTAAACCTGCTCATCCTCAATTTTTATTCCTCTGCAAAAGGGTTCTCTGATACATGTGACTTTTTAATGCTTTTCTTTCGTGTTATTGTTTATCTGTAACCGAGTCATGAATAATACATTAGCAGGATGGCATCTGATATGATTGACTCTTCAAAGAGCAATATATTTTCTGATGCTGTGATACACTTTTGAGATCTAAACCCTGGAATTCAGTGGGAAACATTAAAAGCTATTGCTCCAAGTTTCAAAAAATGTGAGATGCACATTGTTTAGGATGAAGCAGAAAGAAATCTAGATTGTAAGGCCCTAAGAATAATAGGTCTCTTAAAATACAAATTAGGATACTTCCTAGTATTATTGGCAATAGAATCAATTACCTCAGTTTCTGATGTTTTAAACAGAGACTTTATATTGGACAAAATTTGGGCAGAAAAGTTGCCATTAATTTCAAGCTGCATATTGTGTAGGTTTAAACTCATATTAGTTTTATTTGCTAAAACCTCAGTACATTTTGGCCCATTTATACTATGTTATTTTTGTAAGCAGTCTTTTAATCAAATGATGCAGGATGCTGAATAAGTAAGTACTGTATAAATAAGAGCAAATACCTAAATTATGCACATACACATAAATATTGATGACTACAAATTAAATACTACATAAAGATTGTAGGATTGATCGTTAACCCAAGGGGACAGAGTAGAAAGACCAAGAGCTCACCTTCTCTCAGGCACACACCAAAATTACAACTGTTTACAGAACAGCTGTCAGTGAAGAAGACTGAAAACTACCAGCAAAATTCTTCTACAGCTAAAGCTATAAACAAAGACCCTTAAGGAGATGGGTAGGAGGGATGGAGTCATGGGATTTAAGCCCTGGGGGGCGAGTCACAAACAGGATAATGATTACAACTATGGATGTGCTCCCCAAGGAGCAAGGGGTCTGAGCCGCACGTTGAGCTTCCATCCAGGGGGACCTGTGCTGGGAAGATGAGCCCCCAGGAGCTCGCTTCCAGGAGACCAAGATGGCTGTGTGGAAATAGAGACTCCACTCTTAGAGGGACACAGGGCAGAAGTAATTTGAAAGGTGTTGGGTCAGACCCACCTGCTGATCTTGGAGAGGCTCCTGGAGAGGCAGGAGGCACCAGGAGGCACTCCCCCTGGGGACATCGGCACTGGTGGCAGCTGTTTTGGGGAGCTTGTTCTGCCATATTGACTCTGGTGCTGGGGAGCACCGTTTTCAAATCCTCCCTCTAGCTTATTACCCTCAGGCCCCAGCCTCCACTCACCCACCAGCACCAGCCTGTAGGCACCAGTGCTGGGACACTTCGCAACTACCTGGGCAAGGACACAGCACTACCCGCCAGCAAACTGACTTCCTTAAGACCCCCTGAGCCAGCCCTGGACGTGGCCCTGCCCACACACCAGTGCACAGGCACTAGACCTGGGACTCCAAGGCCTTGCCGCCAGAGACCTAGGACCCAGCTCCACCCACCCACGGGCAGGCACCAGCACCCGAATGCCCTGGGCCTTGGCCCTGCCCACCAGTGTGCCAGCTCTAGTCTTGGGACCAACCTCACCAACCAGTGGG